GGGTTACGAAACTTTTTGGGGGGTTATTCACCTTCAATTTTCAAAGAGGAAATTAAAAGATGCCCTAATGTAAAAGGGCTGCTTTATGAAGTTGTCTTAGCTTTGTATGTGGACCAAATTTGTATGTGAATAGTTTGGCAGTCATACACTCTTTGAGCGCTGCAAAGCACACTTCTAAGCCTCTATAGGTATCTGAAGATTCGTTGACATTGAAAGCAGGAGCTGGTTAAACTTGTTACGTATTTGACTAAGTTGTCTAGTCTATAGAGTGAATTGGCGTAACTAGGTTCTCCATGTGCGCATTTTTACGGGGTTTCCGCGCTTGTTGCCGTTGGTCACATGTAAATGGCCCCATTATATTTGCATTAGACCACCATTTCGCCTGCGAAAACGTATGCCGAAACGCCGCAAAAACGCTATATGAACAAGGGGCCTAAGAGTACCAATCAATGTGGAACTCTTCTCTGGGGAACTTTGGGCTCTAGCTTTGTTTTTCTAATATTGACAATCTGTTCTCGATCATGTAAACACATTCAAAACCATAGGAGTGATGTTTTGTGAATACCAAGTTCCTGTTACTGTCCTGCCCATTCATCTAGCCAATGCCCAGAGACATCATTTTGGGCAAAAACGATACCCCAACTCATTGCACAATACAGCACTTAATGTAGAACTTCTAACAAAGTAGTGGGGTTGTCTAAACCGTCAAAAATGAAACCAAAACGAAATGAAAATCCAAATATTTCCAATCATATCTCTCTCGAGCCAACAGCCCCTCAAATGGTCCAATAAAAGCAGCACGCGCTTATTAACTATATCGTTTTCAAAGAGAAGTTAAATCTACGAATGGTGAAGCAGTTCGCGAGACCATCGCGAAATTCCATGTTAACTGACTTACGTATATATAGTAAAGATGCATTATGTAAGAACAGGTTTTTTATTTCGGCATTAAATGTTATATAAACTACATTTATTCACATGACAAGCCTGTAATCTACTCTCTAGAACAACGGATGGCAGAGATTTAAATGAATTAAGACACCCGCGCGAATTAAGAAATGAACAATAAACTGGGTAATCGAGATTTAGTCTTGATTGTTGCGATAATTAACCCTACATCTTCTCAAACCTTCAAATACCCATAACTTCGCTCAGAATAAAATAATTTGAATGAAATTTTCAATATTTTCATTTATCATTGTCTTTTTCTTATACGTAGAAAGAACGGTCATCTAAATCTTACATTATAATTGACTTACCTGATATATTGGATAACGTAAAATGTACGGAATAAACGTCTACCAAGTATTCTGGTCGACCATTAACCAAATCTATTGTAATGTATGATTTATAAGAATATCCTGTCGTGTAACAGACGGTTGTTGAGTTCATCTCTATAACAGTTGGGGTGGGTGAAACTGACACAGGCATACCCTCGGCGTGATTTGTATAGTCTGAAGTGAAAATATAAAAATTTAGGATCTTTTAAAACTTTCACCAAGGCCAGGACGATGTTCATTTAAAATGGTTGTCTGATTCACAGACCTGCCATCTATATATAATGCGAGTACAGATTGATACAGACGAGAGAGAGAGAGAGAGAACGGGGTTTGACGTCCACTTGACACAAACTAGGCCACTTCGGGACTAATATTTGGTTCAATTTTATTTCAATAATTCGTTTGCGCGTAGGATCTCGAGTCTTATATTAGTCGGTGGAAACCGGAGAAAACTCACGAGGTTGGCAGGCGACCCTACTCCTTGCCACTTATAAGCGGGATGATGCAAAGCGCACGCGTTACCCCCCCCCCCTCAACACACACACACACCCTGACATTGATACAAGTCAAATATCCTCATTATCCGGGTATTTTCATCGATTTCGGAATAACGACGTCATCCCCAAAATGCTTACTGTGTTCGGAATGCTACGCTACATGATCACGACAAGGTTTCTTTTAAGTACACGTCAACGTGTACACGGGACCGCAGGTTTTCGTCCCACCCGAACCACAGACAAGTGGAAACGACGCGGGAAATCCTGAGGTACTTTCTAGGCCGGCACCGAGATAGAATCCGGGAACTTCGGGCTCACTGAACCTCCCTGGGTTCATACACATTACCATACTCAGACTCCAGTTCACAAAGCATTCTCATACTTAAGTAAAGTATACTTTACTTAGAATTGTTCGCCTTATTTTAAATAAAATATAGCTCTTTATAAAACGTTTGTAGTTTTAATGTATCAAATACATCAATAAGAAACTATGTGCAAAGTTTTGTGTTTCTGAATAAAAGATATTTCTCAAAAAGAGTGATTGAAGGTTGAGTAAAACTTAAATAAAGTCTGAGAATGCTATGTGAAACCGGGGCCATCTCTATTTCTCATTGATCATGTAGTTGCCATTCTAAGATGCATTATCACTTTCGAAAAGCAGATAAACATTTATACAATTTTATAAAGAGCACTACACTTTGGACTAATTCATAGTCTATGCAAGCTGTTGAAATACCACTCTCCATGAAAAATGGTCGGACGGTACTCGGACCCGTCACAATTTAACTTAGTAATACTATTTATATAAGTCAAATGAAATGAAATGGGGTTTAACGTCCTTCTGTTCTGCTCCTAACCTGGGATAATGAAGACGGGCATACGCCATACAGTGTGCTATGAGGGAAATTTTGCCCGGGCAGCGGCGCTACGGCCTACTCTTATATCGAATTCCAACTGCCAAGGGATCTTTTACGTACACGCCAATGTGTACACGGGACCTCGGTTTTTCGTCCCATCCGAACGACTAGACAGCTGTCCTTGTCAGGCCCTACATCCTGCATCACTGACAAGGGGAAACCACGCCGGAAAATCTGAATGAAAATTCTCGGCCAATGCAGGGATCGAACACCCGACCTCCAGGCTAGCGAGCCAGCGTCTTACCCACTTAACCAAAAAAAAAAATCTTGTTCTTGTTGCTTCTCGGAGTGACGCTATTCAAAAAAAGGCCTAAGGTTTCGCCAATTATGTATACAATAGACATGGAAATTGGCATGCTTGTCATATGGACAATTGTACATCGTTTGGCGGAGTTTTGTTATGACGTCATAATTCCAAGGTGGCTGCGATGACATCGTACTCAGTTCCTGGTCCATAGCCTAGATCAATTCTGCAGGCGGCCTTAATATTTAGACCTGGCTGTGGGACTTCTGATTTGACCATCTCCATAAAATTGTATATGTAGTCAAACCTATAGCGTCATTTTTTGTATACAAACATTCGAACCCCCTTTAAAATTACTTACCCATACATAGGAAAATGTTACCAATCCATCCATATATGTCACAGGTAAATGTGTGCGAGTTTGTATCCACAAATAGCCAGTTTTTTAAACAGGCATACTCCACTTCCGTCGCCGTTTCACGAACTTTCCAGGCACCTAGCAGGTCTGGTGGTGTTCCACAGACTCCTAAAATATTCATACAAAATTAGATTTGCAAGGCTACTACCAATAGACTTACATTTCATCACCCCAGTCCTGTTGATGGATCACACATTGTTTGGTGTTCTAGAAAGAGAAGGGGGGTGGAGGGGGAATAGAGTGGTTTAATGTGTGCGCTTTATATCATAAGGTCTGTATTTGTAATAAAATTGTACATGTAGTCCCGATATGGCGTCCTCGGTGACTAGTTATAACTAACATAGAAGCACTGGTCAGTAGCCAAAACTCAAAAAACCCAAACTATTCAATTGGCATCAGGTGTTCTTGAAAGAGTAAGCATACAAATAATATTATTATTGACTTACTTGTACATATTGGAGGTATACCAGTATAGTTACCATCAGCTTGACAACGTCGGTTCAAATTCCCCGATTCCAACTCAAAGAAAGCGTAACACGTGTAATTGACCCAACTACCCGGCAATCCTCTCTCCCAAACTCTATAAGCATTGCTTACAGGCCCGGGTTCTTCACAATGAACGTCTGAAAAAGAGGTAGCTTGTTAAATGAAGATGGACATTGAAATCGAAAACACACACGCGGATAGAAATGAAATAAAATAGAAAGTTCGTCGGGATTTTCCGGTGTGCCCCCCCCCCACCCCCTTGTCAGTGGTGCAGGACGGATGGAAAAAAATACCGAGGTATCGTGTTCGTCAATAGAGTAGGCCGTAGCGCCACTGTCTGGGTAAAATACCTCTCGCAGCACACTGTACCGCGTATGTCCGTCTTCATTATCCTAGTCAGGAGAGAACACTTTATACCCTGCTCCACTGACGAGGGTAGGCTACGCCTAGAAATCCCGAGGAACTTTCTCGGCCAGCACCGGGATCAAAACCGAGACATCTTGGTTAGCTAACCAGCGGCTCCTACACACGAATATTTATTATCATTATACGAAGTCACGATATACCATATTGCACAGTTATCCACGCTCGAGCCAAACGAAATGATTTTAACGTCCTGCTTTTCTGCACCAGCCGGGATAATGAAGACTGGCTCATGCAATCTGCTATGAGATAAAGTTTGCCTGGACAGCGGAGTTTTGGCCTACTTTTTGGCCAATGGCTCATTTACGTGCACCCCAAAGTGTACCCGGGACCGGGTTTAACGTCCACTCGACACATACTAGGTCATTCCGGGACTAACATATGGTTCAGTTTTATTTCAATAATTCGCTTGCGCCTAGGGTCTTTAGCAGTGGGAGGTTGGACAGGCGACCCTACTTCTTGTCACGTACAACCAGGGAATCGAAACCACACCAGTTGACTCAATGACCAACCTTATGATACAGCGCGCACGTGCTAACCATTCGGCCATCCACCCCCTCCTACACAACGGACAAGAGGAAAACACAATGAGAATCATGAAGAGCTTACTCAGCCAAGACCGGGGTTTAACTCTGGACCACCTGGTTAGTGAGCCAGTGTCTTACGCACTGCGCCACTGTAGTGTGATTCGGCTCACACTATATAGTTCATTTTACATTTAGTTGTATGACTTACCATGCCATATCTGCTAAAATGTTTAATATATACTAAACAGCAAAAAAAATCCAAAACGTCAGTACAATTTCAAAATCATAGAGGCACTTTAATCAAATCATTCTAACAAACGACTTACTAAATGGATCAAAGCAATGTTTTGTGAACAGTATGTTGACACATTAGTGATTCATTCATCACAATTCCAAGATACTACGAGAAGGTTTAGAGTCTGTACACAGTCTATACATCAGTATCTAGTGTGTCCACCGCGAGTGTCAATAACAGCAGCGCAGCGTCTGTACATGGAGTGGATCATACGATTTATGAACACCATTGGCACCTGGAACCACACTGTCAGAAAAGCCTGGCACAATCCATCGACTGTGTCTGGTCTCGGTACGACGTTATTAAGTCTCCTCTGAATTTCATCTCACAGATGTTCAACCGGGTTTAAGTCCGGACTAAGGGCTGGCCAGTACATAACGCTGACACTGTTCGACTGTAGAAAGCCCCGAGTAACCCTGGCGGTGTTGGCATGGGCGTAGTCATGCTGGAAAACGTCGTTTCAATGACGTGCGAAATGTGATATGACGTGGGGTCTGAGAGCTTGATCGATGTAGCGCACTGCTGTGATGCCGCCTCCTCTCCCTGGACCAAGATTTTGAAACACCACAGGACCCACACTCTGATTCAGGCCGACCCCCCCCCCAAACTATTATGCTTGGACCTCCCCATGAGTCTCGTTCCATGACACATTGGTCAGAATAACGCTGGCCACGTCGACGCCATATTCTGGTCCTGCCATCTGCAGTTGATACGCAATACTGACTCTCATCTGTGAACAGAACAATTCTCCATTTCTTGTGTCGATAGTTCTGGTGTTGTATGGCAAACTGTAGACGTTCACGTCGATGGCGAGGGGTGAGGATCGGTCCACGGTAAGGTATACGCCAATGGGTGTTTTCTCTGGTGAGACGTCGGCGCACTGTATCGGTACCGATGGGTCTTCCGTGTGTTCCCAATGTCTGACGTGCTGTCTCAGATACCTGTGTGAAGGTATACTGTACGTGCTGTCGCACAACATGGCGGTCTTGTCGCCTTGTGGTAACCCTTGGTCTACCAGTTCGGGGGGTGGGGTCATCCGTGGTGTTGGTGGCCCGAAAGCGTTGCTGAAGCCTGTAGATGGTCCGAACATTGACCTGGAAGTCATTGGCAACGGCATGGGCTGTGTGGCCAGCGTCGGGTCTTCCAAGTGCCTGGTTCCTCTGAGCTGTCGTGAGTCAACCAGGCATGGGGTGCATTTTATAGGGCTGGTCCCGGTGAACAGCATGTGCAGCATGGGTTACATGAAAATCATGGAGAACACATTACTATCTCAGAAGTCAGGTTGCGTTTTTGAGAACATTTCCTGGGTTCAATTCTATGTTTGGGAAGGAGTCTTATTGCTCAGGTAAAGTTGGAGATGTGGTCATAGATATAAACATTTGGCAAGTTTTATGCAATTCGTCTATTCACAGTAACATACCAACCTGACGTTTCTTTTGCTGCTTAGTATATTTATGTAGCATGCTGTTACATAAGGCACATCATAACGTAATGCCGTATAATGGCCATTGTTTAAATCCCTTAATGGGGGGCCTAAATTCATAAGTGCAATTTTATACCCAGTTGCTTCAACTATGTTCTACTGTCTTCAAAATTGCGATGTTTTACATTTGAAATCAATTCCGAAACTTTGGCGTTGCTCACTTTATCAAAATGGAGATGAAACCTTATAAAAACTATTCAGTTGGCATCGGGTGTTCTTGAAAGAGTAAGCATACAAATAGTATTTAAATAATATTATTATTGACTTACTTGTACATATTGGAGGTATACCAGTATAGTTACCATCAGCTTGACAACTTCGGTTCAAATTTCCCGATTCCAACTCAAAGAAAGCATAACACGTGTAATTGACCCAACTACCCGGCAATCCGCTCTCCCGAACTCTATAAGCATTGCTTACAGGTCCGGGTTCTTCACAGTGAACGTCTGAAAAAGGGGTAGCTTGTTATAAAACTATACATTTGAAATTAATTCCGAAACTTTGGCGTTGCTCACTTAATCAAAATGGGATGAAACCTTAAATCAACGGCGCTAGATACCAGATCTATTTTCTAGTTATATCATATATCATGATGTCTGTTTGGCTTTCATAATATAAGAAAAAAAATAATATCTGGATCTCTGGGCTACTGTATGTGCCCATATAGCCTCAAAGTACCAGAATACCAGAATAAAGATTGAAATATTAAGTTCATAACTTATATGTTACACTTTTTATCAAAACAAACGTTTAAACCTACAGTATCTTAGCAGGTATTAGGGGTGTGTAGAAATTAAATCATTCAGTTGATAAAAAGATGAGGTTGAGAATATAAAACCTGTCTTATGACATATAAACACATTATAATCATAGGCGTAGGAGCTCAAAGTAATTCAGGGGGGCATAAGAGAAAATTGCCCGAAATCAATACCGTTTTTTCGGGCATACATATCATAAGAGCGCTTCGGGCATATTTGCGGGCATGCAGTGGACAAGAAAAAGACGAGAAAATACTTTTCGGGCAGTGTGGATCTCATAGAAATAAGTTAGTTATATTTTTTCTCTAAACGTTAATAGAAAAAAAAAGGTTGTCGAATTTTTCATTGCCCGAAAATAAATTTTTTTTTGGGGGGGGGCAAACCCCCTGCCCCCCCCCCCCGGCTCCTACGCCTATGATTATAATGGTAATTGAAATAACTTATGAAAACCTGACTGAAAGTATAAATTGAAACTCTTGTAACCAAATCAAAAAAAAAATGGACAAGCAAGGGGAGATGGGAAATGGTGGATGGGAGGGGTGTTGAAGGGGACTTATCTGTAATACATAAGGTCAGAAATAAGTAGGGAATTAGCATCATATATCTACAAAAAAGGCAAAATCATAATATATAATTTACCATACTGTTCTTGTATATCATAATCAGACCATTATGGAAATGTAGATTGTATTTGAAATGGTATATTGTTTTTGTGAATATCTATTTTACTGCGTCAAACGTTTTTTTATTTTGTTCCTTTTTACTATTTTCATATTTTTTAAAAATAATATTTATGCTGATATTAACACAATAAAATTTTATCGCATCATAGCTACCTTCAGTGTCTGTTATTAATGGTGAAGTACACAATCCATGGTGATTTTCTTTGTCACAGTTTCTGTTGTGCCATGTAAATGGCAAATGACCATCAACTTGGTCAGCAATCATCATAACAACACAGTTACCACTGCCGATAGCTGGTTGGGCGTTATCCCAGTAGAAAAAATTAACCGCTTTGCCCTCTTCGTTCACCCACAATCCATTATTCCCGTAATTGACATCAAGCCAAAGGTTGTAACTTCTGTACATATAAAAACAATTCAATGATGAAATGGTAATAGTTTATTTTGGACTGGTATAACACACTTTTGGGGGTTCTAATTTGATACCGCTAAACGTCATTGCCATTTGACAGAGCGGGGAGGGGGGGGGGTGTAGGGGGCAAAGCGGCTCAGTTACCAGGAGGTCCGGGGTACGAGCCCGCAATTGGGTGTAAAAATCCCTGGGGTTGTCCAGCGTTGACTCTCCTTGACGTGGTGCAGGACTGGAGATCTGGCAAACGTCTAGTCGTTCAGATGAGTTGGAATTCAATTCTTGTCCGGGTCAAACTTTTCTCACAGCTCACTGTAAAGTGCATGCGCGTATTCATTATCTAGTTGGGTGAAGACGAAATAGGACGATAATTGATTCATTCATTCAGGGCCAAATTTCCCTCACAGCACACTGTATAGCACATGTTCATCTACATTATCTCGTTGGATGAAGACAAAATAGGACGTTAATTAATTCATTCATTAATTTATTTATTTATTCATTCATTCATTCATTCGCTTCATTGATTTTGCAATATTGTGAAAGTTTAATCTCTGAAAGTGATATCAGCCCACAATTAATGGTTCAATTCAGTTCAATAATTACACGATGTAAACAAATCAGCACCACCTATCAAATCTTTTGATGGGCCTCTTTTTAATTAGATAGAATATAGGCCGGAATTGTATCTACCTTTGATGTTAAATATTTAATTTGAATACATTTAAAGCGTAAAAAAATAGATATTGTTCGAAAGAAGCAAATATTACGATCAGATTATCTAATGTAGTGGAAGCCACGGTGGCTCAGTGAGTACGACGTTGACTTGCTAACCCGGAGGTCCCGTGTTCGATCCCTGCGGTTGTCGAGAAAGGTCATCGGGATTTTCCGGCGTGGTTGCTCTCCTTACCAGTGGTGCAAGGCCGGTGGCTTGGCAAAGGACAGCGTATAGTCGTTCGGATGGGACGAAAAACCGAGGTAAGAGTACGCTGTAGCGCCGCTGTCGTGGCAAAATTTCAACCATAACACACTGTATGGCGTATGCCCGTCTTCATTAGCCCAGTCGGGGCAAAACAGTAGGACCTTAAACTACATTTCATTTTATTTCGTTTCATTTCTAATGTAGTGAAATATGCAATTTCCACACTTAAAAGACAAACTAGAACGACTTATTACCTACAGTATTTCAATTCATTATGAAAGCTAGTAAACTAAACAAACCATAAAGATTCCTGTGGCTAAAAAAACTAATTTTAAAGATGTGCATCCCAAGGTTTCACAGCTGGTAAAAAGCCTGCACAGAGAAAATGTATCGACTGTATACTTTTACTAAAAATGAGTTGTGTCCCTTCCCTGTAAATATCGAACACACGAAAGTCCAATATTGACTTATTTATACTATAGTTAGACTATACTATATATATATATATATATATTTATATAATAAGCAAAAATGGCCCATTTGGTACTAGGAACGTTCAAATAAAAAACGTAGTAGTAATCGTTTGGTAGGGGTTGAGATATGTGTTGATATGGGTAAATTGTGCTATGCCAATCTGTTAAATACGTACACATCCTATCTATAAAT